AGCCGCCTCAGTGTCTTCTTTGGTGAAGTGTCTGTTCATATCTTTTGCCCATTTTTAAATTGGATTATTTGTCTTTTTATTGTAGAGGTGTTGGATTTTCCTATAGATTTTAGAGATTAGACCTTTGTCAGATACGTCATAGCCCCAAATTTTTTCCCAATCTGTAGGCCAAGTGGAATATTTCAATAGATAAGCAGATCTGGTACTGGAAGATAAATCTAGACCAGAGATATAAATTTTGGCACCTTCTTCATATTGGTGATAGAAAAAAAAATGGAAGTAGATAAAATCACCAGGGAGCATATAAAACCAAAAAAAAAAACAAACCCAAACCCGCTGCCATCAAGTCCATTCTGACTCATAGTAACCCTATAGGACAGAGTAGAACTGCCCCACAGGGTTTCCAAGGAGCAGCTGAATCTGCTGATCTCTTGGTTAGCAGCTATAGCTCTTAACCACTGTGCCACCAGGGCTCCAGGAAGCATATAGTAGAGTGAAAAAAAAGAAACTAAGAATAGACTCTTGGGGAACACATACATTTAAGGGATGGAGAGAGGACAAAGAGCTGAGAAGTAAACAGAGAGATCAAAGGGAGAAAACAGGAGAGACTTGGATTCATTGTGCCAATAAATCTCTCACAGGGCAATAGAAGTCTGCTTCTGACCACTTTTCCTCTTCTCTCACCAGACTCAGTCTGACAATAGGCCTGTTATCATGCAGACAGTAAGCCATTCCATGTGAGGAAAAGTCAATTAACCTTCCTCCTTACTAAAGCAGTTGCCAGTCAAGTCAATTCTGACTCATGGCGACCCCATGAAAGGTACCCAGTTGTCTATAAACAAAACACACAGATCCAGAAGCCCTTATGGAGAGAAGTTACACATATTAAAGACAATTCTTTACATACACCAAAAGAAGACACTAGAGACTGGGAATGGTAAGAGGATAAAACATTTATCTCTAAGTGTATTATGGTTCACATTTTTTTCCACAACATGAGGGACTAATTCTGTAGGTAAGAAACAAAGACCAAAAAAAAACAAAAATCAAATGTAAAAATCAAGGAAAGAGGAATAAAAAACTGAACCAGGTCCTAGGAAGAAAACCACTTAGGAAGGGGCAGCAGGCAAGAAGCTACAGGAATTAACTGTGTAACTTTGAAGAAGCCACTCAGCCTTTATACACTTCAGGTTTTCTCATCTGTAAAATGAAGGGCCTTATAACTCTAGTATCTTTTGTATTTTCAGAGTGACAGAAAACTTAGATAAATAACTAACAATGATTGATTAATTGCTTTACAGATTTGAATAATTTCATTAATATCTACATACTTAAATAGAGGTATTATCTGAAAATTTGGCTTATTGACAGTAGATATACAAGGAATGGTAAATTAAAATAGAGTTAGATCATCTAGATAGATACATCATTCTTAAGCAGCAGTACACCATTCTGCAGTACACTCTTTATACGAAAAAAGATCAGATTATTCAACCCAAAGGATGTTCCAGAATGCACCTCCAGATTATGACACACACATCTTTTTTTTTTTTTAAGCCAAGGCCTTGGTTAGTTGGTCATTCCATTTTTAAATAATAATATTATCATAATAAAAATGATAATAGTTAACTTTTATTGAGTGCTTAGTACTTGCCAGGCACCATTCTGCATGCTTTTATATAGATTTTCTCATTAGCATTTCCATTTTACTAATGAGGAAACAGAGGTACAAGTAACTTATCTAATTCACAACTAAAAAACGGCAAAGCTGTTCTCTAAAGTAGAACAATATGTCTCATTCTTTCAACAAACATTTATTGAGTGCCTACCACACTCAGGCTAGGCAATGTGCTAGACAAGGAAGTCTTGAGTAAATACATAGTCTGGTAAGCAGTACAGACATGAGCCCAGAACAACTGATGAAAAGCAACCAACACAAAGGTATATCACTGAAATCAACCAATACAAAGGTACATCACTGTGAAATCTCAGAACCCTAAAGACCAAAAAAAAAAAAAAGAGAGAGATTATACTAGCTTGATTCTACAAGGGGCTGGGGGTTGGGAAACGGTCATACAAAGGATCAAAAATCAGAATGGCTTTGGATTTCTCAATAGCAACACTGGAAGCTAGAAGATAATGACGCAATGCCTTCAAAATTTTGAAGGCAAATAATTTCAAACCTAAAATTCTATACCCAACCAAACTAACAATCAAATGTGACATTTTCCAGACATGTAATGTCTCAAAAAGATTACATCTCACATACCACTTCTCAAGAGTAAAACCAAAAAAACCAAACTTATTGCCATCGAGTTGATTCTGACTCATAGAGCTCTACCAAAACACAAAGGAAAGCTAGGATAGAGGAAACAGGAGAAACATTACAGGTTAAAGGCAAAGTAAATCCCCAGAATGATGGTGGTGGGAAATATCAGGGACAGCTGTGTACCAGAGCCACCGAGACAGGCAGGCAGAGCGAGCAACCCATCCAGACCGAAGCAGTATGATTCAAGAGACAAAATATTGAGGAAGGACTGTCATCACCAAGACGCCTTTTGCTACTACATTGGCCTTTTAAACTGACAATGCTAGCAATACTAAAGCTTTCCCCAAATTCATTTTTATACAAGTCTCACCTGGGCCATGTGCTAAGAAGCCCTGCTTTTTGGAACAGTTAAGGACTCTGGTTTTAGTCCAATGAAATAACTCTGCTTTGACCTATTCCTGAGAGCTTGAGGTTTGCCATGATGAGCTTAGAAGCAGAAAAACACAGAGTAGCCCATTCCCACTGACCATATTCCTGCTGGATATCCTGCAAGAACCTGGCCCGTTCTACAGACCTACCAGATGCTCTGACTATGATAAGCCCTGTGTCTTCAGGATTCATTTGCCCACTGACCTCTCCAGAACGGGCTCTTACAGACTCCCCGTGAAGTTGAAGACAGATTGTGATTCAGATATATAAGCTCTTCTTTTCCTAAAACATGTTATCTGAGTGGGGCAATAATGTTCTTTTCTTACACAGCCAGGTTTGTGCTTTGCTATTCAGCTTTTAACAACATAAATATATAAATGAATATAAATAAAGCAATTTAATATTTGCTCATTAAAAAATACGTAAGATAGTGAAAACCACCATTAAGGAACAATGGTAAGAAGTTTTTGTCCCTAGTGTGGGCCTTAGAAGCTCAACTGCAAGTAGATAGGATTTCCTCTGTCTTTAGCTGAGCTAGCTCCTAGAAATTTAAGCATACTTGGCTAATAGAAAAAGTATTTCCAGTTATATTAAATAAATAGGTACTTAGTGATTTTATTTACATGTCAAATTCAAGGGCTCAATTATTCTCAAATTAACCTTGGTTTTTTTCACAATAATAACATTCAATTTCTAGGAATCAAAATTATCTGAGTTTGTATAACATAAAATACTTTTCAGAATATTTTCCTTGATTCATGAGAGAATTTTCTAGCTCATGGTTGCAGAAGCTTTTTTCATTGTATTTTGTGGATATTATTCTGTTTTTTAATTACCTTCCATGTTTCCTTGCTAATGGAAAGAAGAGGCTTTAGTACAAGCTGCCTTGAGCCTTTAGGGAGACAGAGTAACAGGTAAATCCCTAAAAATATTAATCCAGTGCTGATAGCAATAGTTTCTCTGTTTGTGTCAACAGTCATCCACAGAAGTAGCAAACTGTTGTAAACTGCTGTAGCTACTAGGTATATTCTATCAATAGATTTTGTTTAGGCAAAAGGTTATTCCATGTTAGCTAGTTTGCCTGATGTAACCCAAATAGCCTAAACTATGGAGTTTGTAGTTGTTAAAGGCTATTGACACTCAGCTTTTCTTAACAAATTGAAATCATCTTGGGGAAAGAATCAACTAAAATGGCTTAAACGCATTATGTACAAGGCTCTCTCTCCATGACCTGGCCTCCATGTACCTCTCCAGATTCATCTATTATTCTCTATGTTTCAGCCAGGCTAGATGGCTCTCGGGTCCTTAAATGATACTCTCTTAACTCCCAGCCTTTACACAAGCCATTCTCTCTTCACTTCGCTTGCCCATTTATCCTTCAGGTCTTAGCTTAGGCATCATCTCCCCAGAGTAGACCTCCCTGGCAATACCGTTCCATGACATCCTGTACTTCCTCTTGTGTAACATTCATTGCACCAGTAATCAATGTTTTCTTCACACTAAACTGTAAGCTCCAGAGGGCAGGGGCCATGTCTACTTTGTTCACAGGTCTATCCATATCACCGAGCAAAGCACCTGCAAATGTCTGTTAAAGTGAACTAAGTTTTCATATTAGGTTTTAAACACACTTTGTGTTTAATTTTTTGCAATTTTCACTTAATTGTCCAAGAAATAATTCAGTGTTCTGAGGTAAATACCTGACTTTTCAACCTTTCTTTCCTCCTTCATGCTCTCACCCTTTTACTTCCTTCAAAAGTTAATAACTTTACGCTGGAAGAAAATGTCAGAATCTTGTATGACTATTTCAGTAATATCAAGACTTTATTATCTTTTATAACATTCTCAAATTATAATTCTATATCAATTATACGTATATAATTATAATGTAATATAATTATGGCATACTTGTTAATTATAGACCATCCATCCAACCAATATCTATTATGAACCTCCTACATGCTAGATATAAGACTAATTGCATAATATCTATTTACTACTTATATCTATTTACTGGTATCTATTTACTACTCAGGACATCATACTGCTTTACTTTCTCTGCCTTTTAAAAATATACAGTAGATACTTCCTCTCAGTGATAAAAGAACACACCAGCAATGGTCTATTCTCTAAAATGTTAATTCTTGAGAGAAAATACCAAAAAAAATTGAGGAACAAGAATAGTCAGGTACAACCCCAAGTACACTGTGACTTAGAGAAGCAGGCATAAATGCTTTCTTAAAACAACAAAAGAACTGAACCAACTTTTTTAGTCAGTTTCTCATACCACAAGCAGTCTCCTCACCTTAGAGGTTCCATTATCCCAAACAGCTAGACCAAAGTAGTCTTTTTCCAAAAGATTGAGGTGCTGACATACTTGTTTAAGTAAGTCTTGTCCCTTGGCATGTTTCTGCAAAGATAAACATATTTTAGTTGAGGTTTCCTCTTATCCCCACATTCATCAACAAATAAAATAAAATGTCACCTTCCAATTTCCTCTTCAGCCGTGGTTACTAACAAACTTTCAGATGGCTACACAATCTAACTAGAACAATATGAGTTACAAAAAGCCTGTTTCTCAGTTTGTCAGCTTACATATGCAACACTCCTACAGTGATTTGGTAAAAGTGCTACAGTTTAAAGCAAATCCACATTCCGTCTATCTCCCATCCATCACCCCTGTCCCAAATATCATATTCTTTATTTTTGGTACAATATTTCCTGGAGCATGCTATGGGCTACTGTCAGTCGCCATAACCACCTGAATTAGTTGAATCAATTGTCCAGATTGACAGTTAATGGTGGCTGTGGAGATCATTAGACTCCCTACCATTCACAGACCAAATGTCCCAAGAAACAATCTGGAAAAAAAAAAAAAAAGCATAAAGTGTAAAACTCTAGGTACCTTACAGACAGTACCAGTTGGAGTGGCTTTTTAAGTGGTGCTACGAATCATTTTCTTTGTAATTCTTTACCTAGAAAATCAAACCACCTCTACATTTGGGTATTTGTATTCTTGTCTAGGGAGGAAATGCCCTAACCTAGAGGCTGAGATTTAGAGTCAAAAAGTTCTGGCTCAACATAATTCTAAACGGAGAGAGTCTGAAACCATTCCCCTTGAGAACAGGAACCAGACAAGGATGCTCTTTATCATCACTCTTATTCAACATTGTGCTGGAGGTCCTAGCCAGAGCAATTAGGCTAGAAAAGGAAATAAAGGGCATCCAAATTGGTAAGGAAGAAGTAAAAGTGTCTCTATTTGCAGATGGTATGACCTTATACACAAGAAAACCCCAAAGAATCTACAAGAAAACTACTGGAACTAATAGAAGATTTCAGCAAAGTATCAGGATATAA